AAAGGGGAGGAGAGCGGCAGAGGAGAGCAGCCACACGCAAGGTGTCAACGTCAGTCGCCACAACACATCATTAGGAAACTGCTTACACTTACTTTTCCTTACAAACTACGAATTAAAGTCTAGGACATATTTGGAGGAAAACATCTATTTCAGGTGTCTCCCTTTTTTCTTTCCTATTGCACAACAAGTGGGGGAAAGTAATATCTAACGCTAGTGATAGTTTAGGAATAAATGGATGAACGAAGAATGATAAATACAAATCGTAGTGACAACAATGCAAGTTAACGAGATAGAAAACGGCCCAAAGACCAATTATGTTATAAGAAATTAGTAATTACTATGTTTGCATCAGTGGCAACAAGAGAAAAATGTATAATACTCGCACAGTTTGCAAGATGAGTGAAATACAAACATTCACATTCAGATATCCAGCGAAAAGATTGGACTCACTATCTTTGCTATGGTAGATTATAGGTAGACAAACAGATATATAGAAAACTTTCTGGAAATGAATGTTATCATACTCAAGAAACAACTATATCAGAGTATTTATATTTACAATCGACACAGAGAGAAAAAATGTGTGTATGAGGGAGAGAGGGAGAGAGAGAGAGAGAAAGTCAGACAGAGAGAGAGAGAGCTAGACAGAGAGAAAAAAGTGTGTGTGTGAGAGAGAGAGAGAGTCAGATGGAGAGAGAAAGAGTGTGTGTGTGTGTGTGAGAGAGAGAGAGAGAGAGACATAGAGAGAGAGATGGAGGGGGGGAGGGAGAAGAGAGAGAGAAAGAAAGAGAGACAAAGAGAGAATGAGAGAATGAGAGAGAGAGACACACACACACAAAAGGGGGGGGAGAGAAAGAGAGAGAGAGAGAAAGAATCAGACAAAGAGAGAAAAAGTCTATGTGTGTGAGAGAGGGAGAGAGAGAGAATGAGGGAAAGAGAAACTGGTTTACATTATTTATCCTTATATGTGCAGATGAAAAGTTTTAACGGAAATATGAATAGATAGGAAAATTTATTAATTAGGTATTTTATAATACTTAAATAAAATCCCTGGTGTGTGTGTGTGTATAAATATATATATATATATATATATATATATATATATATATATATATATATATATATATATATATATATATATATATATATATACAGACGTATATATATATAATATATATATATATATATATATATATATATATATATATATATATATATATATATATATACATATATATGCGTGTGTGTGTATATATATACATATAGAGATAGATAGATATATGTGTGTGTGTGTGTGTGTGTGCGCACACACACACACACACACACACACACACACACACACACACACACACACACACACACACACACACACACACACACACACACACACATACACACACACACATATGGGCAGAAACATAAAAGTAGATATCTTTCTTTTTTTATAATAACACCGGTATTTTCTTTGCCAACCCTTAAAAGGTTTGCAATTTTGAAATGCGCTTCATCCCCTAATGAGCGGCCTTAGAGACGTCGGAAGGGCTCACAGGTGGGCCAAAGAGTTTATGTGAAAGTTGATGAAGGGCTCAGAGTCGCCGAAGCTCACGTACTAAAGACAAATTGATCGATTTTGTCAGTGCAAGCGTTGGTTATGTGCTCGCTCGTGACTATTATTTCTGTTTTCCATGAATAAAGCAGTCAAACCCCTTACGAAGTGGATTTCGAAAACGAATAGGAGGATGATAGATATTATATACGGAAATACAGATACGCATGTGTACATTTCTTGACAACTTAGAATCAGAAGTTTTATTGACAAGGAAAGTAAATCAAATGATTTAATGATAGTAAGATAAAATCAGTGAAAGCTAACGTTGATAATCAAACTGTTGAGTGACTTAAAATTATAAATTGCTAAATGAATACTTGTGTTGGAATTATTCATGACATTCAAATGAGCCTTGCACTTGGTGACCGAATTTCCATAAATCCAAAGTCCGCTTCGTCAGTAAAGCCGCATGTTCGCCGTGCCAAATCTCGAATCGGGCTTGAGTATGGCTTGATTGCCCTTTCTGAATTTTTAAAAATCGGTAAAAATTGCTAAGCAAGTACGTATCCAACATGTGAATATGACGCAGGATTTGGAAGGAATGTAAAGGAAAAGTAAACTATTTATTTGTGCTCTTTTTAGAAATCAAGTGCTAATAAAAGACCATTTTAAAGTTAAATGAATACGAGACTAACAGAGCTCTATACTATTATTTGCATCTGACGTCCCAGGTTGCAGTCGTTTCTGCGGCTCACGTGTAACCGAACAGCGTGAAGTCTGGTTCGTAGATGCTCAGAATCCTCGCCAGGCTCTCTCTCGGGATGGCGGCGAAGAGGGCGTCGCTTGAGGCCTGCGTGGAGCCGTGGGACGAGTGTTTTTGCTTCATCTGTACCTCCGAAGGGACGCCCAGGAACCCGAGGAGTTCCTCCACGTCCTGCGAGAGGGTTTCCGTGTGGACGATGAAGTCGTAGGTCCTGTTACACGGGGCGCACAGACTCGCGATGGGTGCAAAGTGCACGTTCATGACGCCATGATCGTGCGACCACAGCACCATCTGGATATAATCTCTGAACGTGAAGACGGCGTTCTTGTGCGTCTCCCTTGCCGTCTGGTTGCAGTCCCGCACAAGACACATGGAAATCTGCTGCCTTTCCAAGTTACTTCTGTAGGGCCCCTTGAGATCCGGCAGGCAGCGTTTCGGCAACGCGACGGAGCCCCTGGCGATGAGGCACGGCAACCAGTAGTCCCGCCAACGCTTTGACCACGACTCGCCGCTGCCCGTCGCGCGCCGCCACGCCCCATTATACTCGGAGATGGGTGCACCACCCAGGAACTTGTCCCTGTCCAGAAATGATAATGTCATGAAAAGATATCATACTGTTTCACTTTTCACTTCAAAGACACAGATCATATTATATAAAGGGGCTTGTCTCAGCTAGTAAACATATGCCATAAACAGAATCGTCTATTTTCACATGAGTGTTTGAAAGGGCCTTTCACCTGTACCCCGAGACGAGGCGGCCAAGAGGGTGCCTGACGGTGATGATGAAGGCTACCTGGCGCTGCGGAGGCTGCCTCTGGGATAACTGCTTCTTCAGATCCTTCCAAGAGGTGAATCCTGCCTGGAAGGATGCTAAATATGATTTGCAAATCAAAAGGCAATTTTAGTAAATGATATGTCACCTGATTCTATAAATATAGAACAAATATAAGTGTTTCTTTGTATTTACTATTATGTCATATGAGCGACATGCCAGTAAGGCACCCAACCTTCTTGGGCACGCACGCTGCGAACACGCCCGGCGACGTCGTCAGGCTCCGCACGGCTGTTCTGTAAGCCGTGCTCGTTTCCTCGAGCTCCCTGCATGCGGCCGGCAGGAAGCTCCTCCAGCGGGCGCTATAGGACAGGAGGCTTTCGCCGTTGCGTCGAGCCAGGGTTACGTGACCCGAGACACTGCTCTCCGGCACGCGGTTCGCTGTTGGTATGCCCAGTAACTCTTGTGGCTCTGTGCTGTTGGTGGGCACCTGTGTGGTCCCTGAGGCACTGGAAAGGTGTCTGGCCAGAGCCTCTCCTGGCGTCCGTCTTCTCACCGACTCCCTTAACACGTGTCTGTGCTGCAATGCGACCTGGAAAGGACAAGGAAATCGAGAGGGAAGTTGATGTTCCTGAATATCATAGTACGGCTACACTGCAGTGTTGAAGAAATCCCGAGGGAATATTATTATGGAGCTTCACTGTAGTAACAATGTTTCATACACTTTGGGGATTACTTCAATTATAACTATAATGAGTATATTCCATTTTTTGTATGAATCCATCCTGTAATCTAATAAAGAAAGTAGCGAAATACAAAATACCACTAATTAAAAAAAAAAACTTGTCTATAACTAAAAACTATATAAAAATAATACATGAATACATGAAAAACATAGAAAAACTCGAACAGATTTAAAAACCGTCACTTAAGCATTCAAACACTCATGCCTTACTCTCTCTCTCTCTCTCTCTCTCTCTCTCTCTCTCTCTCTTTCTCTCTTTCTCTCTCTCTCGCTCTCTCTCTCTCTCTCTCTCTCTCTCTCTCTCTCTCTCTCTCTCTCTCTTTATATATATATATATATATATATATATATATATATATATATATATATATATATATATATATTTGTATATATATTTGTATATACATATGATATATATAATTTGAGCATAGTACAGGTTCACGCACCGACATCTCGTGCACCAGAGGAAGAAGTGTCAGATTTCTACGAGACGTTCGAGGATACTGTGAATAAGGTCAATAGAGGAGACCTCCTCATCGTCCAAGGAGACTGGAACAGTCAAATTGGTAGTAACTCATATGCCGAATGGAAAGGTACTGTAGGAAAATTTGGTCTCAACAGTACTAAGAAAGGAGGTGAGAATGCACTTATGTTTGCTAAGTTTAATCTTGTCGTAACTAACACACTCTTCCAACACAAGAGATCTCGACTCGTAATAGTTGAAAAAGTTGAAAAAGCAAGTAAGGGAAATTACACCGAGGCTCAAATATAACGTCAACAAACTGCAAGATCCAAATATTGTAGAGCAGTTCAGTGCAACAATTGATGGCCGATTCGCTCCCTTGCTCTTTATAGACAATATTCAAGATCAAACTCAGGAGTTTACGAAAGTAGTCAACGAAACGGCCTTAGAAGTTCTTGGGAAAAAGAAAGAAATTAGAAATTCTTGGATCACTGATGAGGTCCTAACGACATTAAAATACGGAAATGCTTAAATACTGAAGATCTGGAGCGCTACAGGGTTGGTAATCGAGAAGTGAAGAAGGAAGTCAAGAAAGCGCGGGAAGAAGGGATCGGGAAACAATGCGAAGATATAGAGGAAAATCTGAAGATGAACCCCAAGAAAGCTTTTGAAACCGTTAAGAAACTGAGCAATTCCCCACGAATGGGCACATCCTCAGGAATTGAAGACAAAAAATGAGAAAGTCCTCTCAGACCCAAATCAAGTGTTGCATAGATGGGAAGAATATTGCTATGAGTTGTATATGCAATTCATAAAGAGCCCGCCATACTGGAAAGCCTTAAAACCCAGGCAGTACCAAATGAAACTGCACCTGGAATCGTAAGGTCGGTGGTAGAATATGCTGTCAAATGCTTGAAGAACAACAAAGACAGCAGGAGTCGACAATATTCCAGGCGGACTCATCAAGTATGGTGGAGAAACAATAGTTTCTGCACTACTTTCCATCTCCAATAAGATTCTCCACACTGGTGAGTGGCCACCTGATTGGACTAAATCTATTCTTATCCCCATTTCCAAGAAAGCTAGCAGAAAGTGCTCGAAGCATCGCACCATCAGTTTAATCAGCCATCCTAGCAAAGTGATGCTCATTATCCTCAAACGACTAATAGAAAAAGCCATTGAAAGCACTCTTGATGACGCTCAGGCAGGCTTCAGACCCAGGCAAAGCACAATAGAACAGATATAATTGATATAATATGTAATATTAGAGTGATAAGAGATAAAGTATATTAATCATCAAATGGTCGTGTATAGCAACTTCATTGACTATAAGAAGGCGTTCAATAGGGTCTGGCATGATGCGCTGTGGGCCATCCTAGAAAAGCATGGTATTGACACTGGAATTATGAGAGCAATGAAGAATCTATATCAGGTTGCTGAGAGTGCCGTGCAAATTGGATACCAGCGTAGCAACTCCTTCAATTGTCGTGTTGGCATCAGGTAAGGTTCTGTCACCAATGTTATCCAATGCATTTCTGGAAGAAATCATAACTAGAGCACATGAAGGTTATAATGCTGGTGTCACTATACAAGGAAGGAAAATCTCAAATCTTAGGTTCGCAGACGATATAGACCTCTTCACTAGTTCAGAAAAAGAACTGCTCGATTTGACTTAGAAATCAGTGCAGAAAAAGTAAACTAATGGTAATCAGCAACAAGCCTGTAACAACTGAATCGAAAATAGAGATCGGAAGCATCCCATTGGAACAAGTTAGCCAGTTTAAAAACCTAGGATTCACAATGCAAGAGTCTGGCAAAACATATTCTGAAATAAGAGTCTGTCTAGCTATGGCAAATTCACTGAACAAACTCGATACTATCTGGAGAAGCAAACGTACTTCCTTTGCAAACAAATTTGGTCTTCTTCGTTCCATTGTGATCTGTCTTGCTTTATGGGTGTGAGGCTTGGACTTATAATGCCACAATTGAAAAGAAGATCCAGGCCTTCTTGGGGTCACCTACCACGACCGACGAACTAATATAAGGGTGGAGAGAGAAATAGAAAGGCAAACTGGAAGACAGAAACGTTTCCTTGAGTTAGCGCGAAAAAGAAAGATGGCCTGGTATGGACATGTGACACTACATCTCGATCAGTTTCCCTGACAAACACGATCATCCATGGAGCTGTGAACGGGCGGGGAGGACAAGGACGACCGAGGGCGGAATGGCTCGGTGACATCGCCAAGTGGACAGAAAGAAACCGAGATGAAACGACAAGAAGGGCACTAAACAGGGAAGAATGGCGCTCTACTATTGCTGCGTCAACAGATGCCTTACATCTATAACGATTTGATTGATTTATATATATATGTATATATATATATGTATATGTATATATATATATATACGCACACACATACTCACATGTTTATAAATGTACACACGTACATATATATGTCATAATCGATATTGATTCGACAATCGAAAGATACATTGGTTACAATTGTAAAGATCTCTGGACCACATAGAATTGCCAAACCCCACTAGAATGTTTATTTGCGTATTTTTATTTAGAGTTATAAATAGTAGACGAAATTACAGTAATTATCTGTAAATGTTTGATTTGCTTAAATGTTCATGATTCAATGGCGGGAAGTAGTAGGCGGTTTTACCATCACGTCCTACGCCAGAGGTGTTGTGGCTTTCATCTCGCACGTAGGTATGTTAAGTGCTTAAGTGCAACGATTTCTTTGGCCCGTGAATACAGCAACGGAATATGTCAAAGGTGCCAAGTCCAACTGCCAAGTAATGAATTGTGAAAGGAACAATAGACCAGATTAGAGCGTAGGAGAGGGAAATTGTTAAAAGGGAGAGATTGATGACTTTTTGTCAGAGTAATAACGGTAGATACCGGGGAGAGGGGGATGACTGCCTCGATCCCGCCTCATGCTTAGCTTTATTATATTATCTTGATCATTCAGCTATAGTTAGTAGACGAAGAGAGGGTTAACGTTAAAGCTAATCATAGATTTTAATTGATTCGGTAAAAGTATATTGCTGTCTTTTTTTCTGATAGGGGAAACTGGGGTAAGATGAACCGTCGGGTAAGATGAACCACCTCTTGTGCTGACGTCATTACAAATCTCGTAAACCTGTGGTGCCATCCACCCGAGGCCTTCTATCATCACAGGCCTCTGACGGAGCTACA